TTAAGCAGCTACTGATATACTGAGTGGACCCTAGAGCCTTCTGGAGATCGCGATAAAGAGGAAAATGCAAATTATCATTTTAAAGAAAGTAGCCCAGGCATGAGAAAAAAAAAAAGGCTGCATTTTATGGTTCTGTGCTGGATATTTGCAGCTTATAAGCAGTTCAAGCAGATATCATACTAACCAAGACATGCTAAATTCTCACCCCTTATGCTGCTATGAATAATCATATACCACATTAAGAAAAAAAAAACTCTGAGAAGAAAGTATTTCTTTTGGAAGAGATTGATCATCTCTGGAAAGGAGCATCACTTTATCAGATTGTTTAGCAGCTGTTTCTTAAGGAGCAGTAAAGCCACTGGGGAATGTCACAAAGGAAGAATATTTGAGTTCCCAAGACTCTTCACAGAGAATTAAAGTGACAACTTTGTGCTGAGGAAGCCCCTTTGTAGGCATAGTTCTTTTTTTTCTTTCATGCTTACATAGATATGTGTTTGTATTAATAGTCATCAAGTGTGTATGAATAATCATTTACATGCACCTACTTGCATGAGAAGATACATAATCATGTGCAGTTCTGAGTCCCTGAAAACAATCTGTAGGTTTATTGCTACAGACGATGAAGAAATGAGGCTGCACATACCATGATTCAATCTTCGGGATTCTCTGCAGAGCCCTTTCCTCATTCCCCCTCCATTAGGTTTCCTTGGCAAACAGCACCTGGTGCTGTCATTCAGCCAACCAGAATCCCCACAACCCTTTGCAAACCCAGTGTTTGATTCACACACTCCTTCTCAGCTCCAAGGCCGAAACACTCCTTTCTGATTCCAACCAACTGAATGTAGGTGCCTCTGGCCTAACTTGTTCCCAGAATTGCCTTCCCATAGGCACAGACTGAGAGCTGTTGGCAGAGAACAAGTGCTTGGAGGTTGAATCGAAGCCTTGTATTGCTCTGAGCCTCATGAGAAGAGGCCCCAGGGCATCCTGCAATGTGTGCTCCAGGAGACACAGTGAGCAGCTGAAAATGGAGGTTTTTAAGAGCATGGTGGGAATTTTCTGCCTTCCTGAATTAACACAAGCCAGAGAAATGAAAACTTGTCCCCTTTGTGCTTCATGATGAGAAGAAGACTGTGAAGGATGATAGTGGAACAACCTTTTCCAATCCCTCCCCATCTCCCCTCAACCCCCCAAGTCAAGCTATTAGTAGGCTTCTGTGTCCTAGTGAAGTTTCAGCCCATGAATGCTCATCTCACACATGCATTTGACAACATTTTGTTGTGAGTTACAGCTTCTGTACCTGTGCATGCACCACAACAGTGTACTTCATAGAATACTGTAAATGATGGAATAGAAACTAGATTTAAGGTATAGTTTCTGATGAAATTAAGTATTCATCATTTTTTTCTTCTGTAAAAGCAAAATTTTCACTCAGTTTTTGCATCTTGGCATATGTCATTACCTTGTTCATAGAAACCCTGATAGTTCACAGCTTCCCAGATAGCAGCATGTTACTTCTAGTTTTGTAACCTCAATGCCTAAAAATTGTATGAAGGGCAAGCTCATTACTGAGGCAAACTTCAGCAAATTAAGTTACATATTCTCCTGAAGCAGTCACATATGCAACACTGACATTCACTTTTTGCATTGCCTTATGTTGATAATGTCAGACTGAGCATAAAAAAAGTCCTTTAATTTGAGCATTATTAATTTTAGTAAAATGAAAAGAATAACTCTCACCCAGCCAACACACTATATTTTCCCACCACAAGCTAAAATTCTAGAGAGGCAATAGTATAAGGGCAGTGAGTAATAACCCAACAAGCATTGGTCATGAACTACAATATTTGAAAGTTTGTGGATGGAGATGGCTGAGTATGAAATCTTAGCCCCAGAGAAGTCAATATAGATATCTTTTACAGCTTTAATGATACCAGGGTTTTGCTGGGCTTATTTGCAAAGGTTATCCTGGGGACTGAACTGTGTAAGCTGAGCACACAAACCTGCAGCTGACCAGCTGCTCCTCATCTTAGTGCAGAGGGGAAGAGGGTCTATGTACATGAGTATGCATTGTGGACTACCTTTATTTTATTTTGGGGGGATTTCTGGTGCTTTTGTGGCTGCTGCCTCTCCCCTCTGCGAGGATAATGCTAGAGGCTCAATGTGGTCCGATCTTTGGCTGTGAAAGCCTGTCTGTCCATGCTCAGTGCCAATGCCAGTGTACTTATACATGGAAATAAAAGTCAGAGCACAGAAAATTCAGGTAATTTAGACCCTTAACACCTTACTAGTCAAGCTAGCACATCTTTGTTAACAAAGTCTTTTATGACCACCAAAGAAATGGTGTAATAATAGAAAGACAAATATTTATTGTATTGAAAAAAAAAGCCTAAACAGAGCAAACTTCCCAAAGCTCTAGAAATAAAATATGAATGGAGTGTAGCCTACAGGAGTGATTGCCTAAGGAGCAGTCTTCACACATCTCTTCTCCTGTTAGTGTTCCTTTCTGGCCCCCCTCCCAGGCAATTCGGCAAGGATGCCATGACCCCCAAGAGACTGGATCTCCAGGGATGCTCTGGCACCTCAAACATGACATCTAAGCCAAGCCAGCACTATGGGAGCCCCACCATCAGCAGAGAGCTTCTTCCTGGGTTTGGTGTGTATGATTCTTCTTGTTGCGTTGCTGCCTGTAATAGAGAACCCACACAGCTGATGAACACAATGGAGGCAAATCTGCCTCCCGTGTCCATTCTTGACTTAACGTAGGTGGTGCTGCCGCTTCCAATTTTGCAAGGGAAGCAGAATATCCCATTTAAGCTCAAACTTCATTTCTGAAGATCAAAACCAACAGAACTCAGGAACCTGCAGGCTTTTGAAAACTCCAAGAGATAACACTTTGCTCTTCCAGGAATCAAAACACTCTTAGGAATTCTGCACTAAATGACTTGTCTATGTGACACAGGCAATCTGGTTGGGCAGAGCACTGAGCTTTTGTCCTGAGGATAACTTGCTGGCCACGGGGCCCTGCTATCTGTCTGTAAAAGCCTTTGTGACACCATCCTTCCTCAAAGAAAGAAGCCATAGGCAGTCCTGGATCTTGGCCACATGCCTATCTTGATACACTCTCAATAACTCTGTACTCAAAGACCAACTTGAGTTACAGCTGTTGGGCATAGGTGCCCATGTATATGTATTTGTGAGAGTAGGAAGTAAAGCAAAAGCTGACTCTTTTCAGTGTCCCACTTTACTACACACAAAGAACCAGAGAAGATATAAAGACAGGTTTTAGTGAGTCCACTGCTCACAGAACTATTTATTTTGGTTGTTTACTTCTTTCCTTATCTCTGTCATGGAAAATAATTCAGATTTATAATCTTATATTGCTCTTCAAAGCATATCATATTGTGGTGGCCTTCTTTACAACACCGGACTGGAAAAGCAGAGGTATTTCCTTTGCTGAATTAAAAGCCAATGGCAGTTCTGATTTTGCACTTAAAAAGAAATGGAGATGTAACAACACTTATTTTGCAAACCCAGCTTTTACATATTCTCTGTCTGCCTTAGAGTACGTGGACTACATTCAAACAAACAGAACTTAAGATGCCCCTGGTGCACTGCCATTAAAATGTCAGTGAATTAATTTGTGCAAACACTTTAAAACACAGGGTAACTTGACAGAAAAATAAATGCATCATTTTATAAAACATACTGCTAGATGCAACAAAGCTTTTACTAAAATTGAGTGTTATTTAAACATGCCAGACCTTGTCCTTAACCACATTTCATATTTTCATATCAGCCTGGCAGCGTAAATATACTTTTCAGGAGGGTAAACTGAAAATCCATCAAGTTTAACATATCAAGATGGTGTATTTAAAAGTTTAAATTAGAAACAATCTCATAACCATTTCAATTATCTGCTTCTCCCATGATGTACACTTCGTCACGTGGGGTACCCTCTGACATTCTTTGTGTGCTCATTCACAGAATTAGCAGATCAGAATAAACACTCACATGCTTGAAACTTGAAAGTTTAATTAAAAAAACATTTCCTCAGGCTTTTCCCCAAGCAGTGCAAAGCGAGACTGCCATGTAGTGGGTACGCATGAGCTCCAGTTGTCCAGATAACAGGATTAGGTCTATCTTATTAGCTGTGGTACCTGAACTAATTCCCAACATGTTTTCTATCTGTCATGTGGAAGTCAGTGGCCAAGAATTAGCTCGGCCTAGCTCTTCCAGCCAGACTTTTATTTTCCCTCTGTTGACTGGTTTGGACAATCAAAATATTGCATATGTTTGCAAATTTTATTCAGGATACTTGTTGCAGAAAAAGGCCAAACAATTAGAAAACACAAAGATACTCTCTTGCAGAGCTGAGTGAAGGAGGTCAGGGAGGAGTGAAAGAGGTCAGGGAAGGGAGCTGGTTAGCTGTAAGTAGACATGGTCAGCCACTGAAAGTTTAATGTCAAGCTCAAAGATACCACGCAAGAGAAGCAAATTGGGGATGATTCCTTTCATTAAGCATTCCTCTAGGGAAAGTATTCTCTCTGCAGTTAACTGTGCTTTAATGAGGTCTGTGATACTGCAGGAATATTGCAAAGGGTTCAGAAATGGATAGGGCTGAAAACCACAAGCTCACAAAATCACACTGAAGTAGAAAGACTTTCGCATCTAAACCACCACCTCTAATCTAGCCTGTTTCATTAAGAATGCACAAAGCTTTTCAGCCTGTCAGCTATTCGTGACTTCTGAACCCATGAAAATATGCTGCACTCACAATGTAGAGCAGATGCAGGGCAGGCAGGACACCCAAAGTCCCAAGACAAGGACAGCTACACTAGGGTGCTTATTTATTTATTCTGTGGAAAAGGAGATGAGGCTGGAGATGTTTCACTGAAAAGGAGACTTGAGACTTGTCCTAGATAGACCTATATGAAATGAGAAATGTGCCCCGAGTCTGGCTCTTGGTTAGGGACACACCAGATCTGTCCTGGTCCCATAAGCTGACACCATGGTCAGCATTTATAGGTGTTTATCAGTGAGTTTGTATGGAAATCAGAACATTGTGGTCACAGAGCTGAACTTCTCACAAAAGATCTGTGTGTTTGCTTTCCTGAGATATCTCAGAGGGAAAAACACATCTGAATTTGAAGTCTAGGCTGAAACACTGGATTTTAGTCTCAAAAGAGTAATTCTGAGATGCACAGAGTATGAGAGGAAGTAAAACACACTTTCAGGAGCTCAGAAACATGTAGGAGAATCCGGGTGAAGCTGAAAAAGTGCTAAAGACAGTAAGTTTTCGTGTGTTTTAGTAAGGACACTGTATCTTTGTGTGAAGAAAAGGTCAGTGCCTTCAGCCAGAGCTGCCCTGACCTGGCAGCAGAGTCCCTGAGAGCTGTGTCCTGTGTTTCCCACCAAATGCTGTCCTCTCCCACCATGCCAGCTGCATTACTTTATGATGAATTCCTACAGACCATGTGGGTAACTAATGCTCCTTGGTGGCCTAAACCAAGGCATTTAGAGTGACATTTTCAAAAGCATTTGAGTTACTGTAGAGCCTCGGTACTACAGTATTCCCACCATCCACACGCTGATACTTTCTCTAGCTGTCTAAGTAGGGGTTATCTTCATAAGTTTTCTTTAAAGAGTATTTTTCACAGTAATGGTGTAAGCTGGATGTTGCAAAGCTACCTTTGTTGGAGAGTTTGCAAAAGTGAACTAGCAGGAGCATCTCCCTCTCTCTTCACACAACACAAAAAACCAGGTTAGGTACTGATGTTCCATTTGGACAGAAGCTTTTAAATTCTTATCTGGGACTATCTATTTCTAAAAAGAACATTAATCATTTTCTATGGCCTGCAGGATAACTCTTTTATTAGCCAAGGACTGAAGGCTCAGGTTTATCTCTCTGATGGCAGTGGGAGTCTGTCATTGCAAGGACACTTCTCCCCTTGGTGGCAACAGCAAAGGCAGCTTCTGCTCCCATCCCTTCCTCCAGCCTTGCCCCATTGCAGCTCCAGCAAAGACCAGGAAAATGTGCCATCTTGCAGTGGGAGAACCAATGGGGCAGGAAGCAGGATGCAAGAATTTAGATCAGCTAGAAAGGGGTGACTTGGATTGAGCAAGCAGAGAGCAGTCCTCAGGATGTCTTGGCAGCTTTATTTGCTTTACAGCTCTAGAGCAAAGAAGGTTCAGAAGTCCTTCTTCTGTTATTTAGTGGCTCTGCACAGAGTGCATGCTTGGCAGAGGTCAATTAAATGGGAAAATGGCTTTCCTTGTGCCACTGAACACCCACGTAGCTCTCAGGATGCCGTTTTTCCAAATATCTCAATATGGGTATTCGATCATTCATAGGACTTTTATACTGTCTTTCAGTGGGAGGAAAACTGAGCCTATACCAACTTCCTCTTGAAAAACCCCATCCAAACCTCAGTAGTGTAAAACGCTCAGAATAATTAATGGGAGACAATCTGTTGCAGAATCTCAATCTAAATGCACTACAATAAAGGGTCTCAGCATAGCTGCCTGCCCGTGAGCAAGAGGCAAGGAGAAGGCACTGACAAAATAGTTAAGGTCTCCCTGAGAAATGGCAACTTTCCAGAACACACTGTGTTCATATACAAGGCTTCATATTAGGCTTCACTGTTAGGAAGTGCTCAGGACATGCTACTGGCTCCTGCTTATTCAGTGTCACAGAGGATAATCCTGTCCCTCTAATCTTTGTGAGGTGGGGACTGCTAGAGGCCTTCTCCAGCAGATGTGCAATTACACAACAGGTGTGTAGTGAACTGGTTACTCTGCACAACCACTAAACAATCAGATGAGATCTATCAATATCTATATCTATCAATATAATGCATATTCCTTAACTATCTGACAAAGAAAGGTGACCTGTCATAGTAAAATACTCAGCTTCCTCCCCACTGCCACTACAATGTGAAATACATTTTTTCTAGAACTTTGAGCCATGAGTTATTCAGGTTTGCAACTCATTAAACACCCCCTCCCCCTTTCCTTGTAAGAGACTCGATTTTGTGCCTTGAAGAGAAATGCAGAACCAAATATAACAAATAAATAAATATTTTTTGGTCATGACTCATCAAAATGATGGTATTAAGGAAAAAGTAATCTTAAGAAAAGGATAAGTTTTCAATTCACACAGATTAACCTCTTGATGTTGGCAGCCTGAACCTTCTTCCCAGTCTTAGAGCTTTCCAACAGCAGGCTGAGCCAAGCAAATCGCACTGCTTTAGTCTTGTAAAATTCTGACCTGAGTGTCAATCAGAAGGTAGCATTTGCTCTTCAGCCACTCAGTAGCCACAGCAACAGTGAAAGATAAGGATGGAGTCAGGCTGGAAGCATTCAGAAGTTTTCCCCTTTTTTCAGCACTTTTTTCAGGGGCCTTGGCAAGGGCAGTATTTAGTTTCTTAAGGAGTTTGTTGCAGACCTGCCTTTATCCCCATGTAAGGTGGGAAGGGAGTGGTATGGGTCTTTGGTTGCTTTGGGTTGTTGCTGTCAGAAAGCTGGAGGATTTTGCTATGCTCTCGTGCCACCCTTGCACTTGGTGGTAGCGTAGGATGCCATGCTGCCTGGGATTTGGGCAAGCACCACAAGCAAGCAGAGGTGAGGGCACAGGGCAGAGCAAAATGTATATTGTCTTTTTTTGTGTGCGTGTTCTCCTCATGGCTTATCTATTTTATCTCTGTCTTCTTGATTTATAGATGAAAATCTTTGACAAAAATAAAGATGGGCGGCTGGACCTGAATGACCTGGCAAGGTAGGATTTAATAATGTTGATGGGGTTTTTCAGCTCCCAATGACAGATCCAGGCAAGGTGATGATCTCCCTCTGGGGACGAGAATTTGAATTTTGCCTCCTTTCAAATTACATCAGCTCTGATCCTACCTCTCCAAAACGTTATCCCTATTGCAATAGTCTGAGGATCTAGAGCTAGTGACAGGAGCAATGCTAGCAATGTACAACACCAACATTCATGACCCATGCTACCTCTGTGATGCTTCCCAGGAGGTGACAAAGCAACCAGTGACATTGTTACTCAAAAAAATTGATGGCAATCCTTTCAGCAGGGTAGTAGACGTGCATTTATTTTATATCATCACATTTTTTGCCTACTTTTTTGAATAATAAAAGTGCCACCACAAAGGAGTTTGGCAGTGGCAGTAAGAAAGAATTTGAAGAGCCAAGGTGAAGATGCTTGTGAAGGAAGCTGGGGACTCAGTCATGGACCTCTGTCTCTTTTCTGTTCTTGATACCTCACAGAATCCCAGAATCTGTGATTCCAACCAGGTTGGAAAAGACCCCGGAGATCATTGATTCCAACCCATGACCCAACACCATCCTGTCAACTAGACCATGGCACTAAGTCCCACATCCAGTCTCTTCTTAAATACCTCCAGGGACAGTGACTCCATCACCCTGGGCAACCCATTCCCATGTCTGATCACTCTCTGTAAAGAATTTCTTTCTAATGTTTAACGTAAACCTCCCCTGTCACAGCTTAAGACCATGCCCTCTTGTCCTACTGCTGGTTGCCTAGGAAAAGAGACCCAACCCCCACCTCACTCCAACCTCCTTTCAGGTAGCTGTAGAGAGCGATAAGGTCTCCCGAAGCTTTTAGATGATTTTCATTGCCTACGGACAGAGTATGCCTTTCTCTGTAAATGTATGTGCATTGATTAGATAGGACTTTAAACATGCAGATACAATCTTAAAACACCATTTTAGGGGTGAGGGGACAGAAGTGCTGGTTTGCCACTGTTACTTTCTGCTTCGGATCATGACAAATGTGAGCATGAATAACTGGAGTGCATACAGCAGTTCCCTTTGACTATGATATATATGAAAAGAATCAGAGGCAGAATGGAGAATAAAGGGAGTTACTGTTGCAATTTTCTCTTAAATACAGTTCCCTACCAGGAACTAGGCCATCTGAGGCTCCCTTGCAGTCTGAGCACATTCCTCACACTCCGAATCCCTCCATGTGTGGACACAGCTCAGTGTCCCTGTGTCATGGGCTCTAAAAACCTCAGGATTAGCAGAGGAGTTGGAGAGAGAAAATGATTTATCAGTGCTTGATGAACTTTAGGAGACAAAAGGAGAGGAATTCAGCCAGTCTTGGTGCACAGACCAGTAACACTTTGCCCTTTACTTTTACAACAACCAATTCTGCCTCCAATAGAGAACGATAAATGACTCTTTCCTTTAATGCAGCACAGCAATCCAGTTACGAGGAATGGTTGTCTGGCAGCTCTTGAGTCAGAGTCTGACAACCTCCATTGTGCTGGACCACCAGAATTGCTCTGTGAGGAGCAATGGTGCTACGAAGCACATTTGTGGTGAGCCAAAGGGCACCCGCCGTGCCCCATCATACAGGGAGGAGGGCTCGTGTTCCCACATCAGCCCTCTGCAGCAATTTTCTCTTTTATAGGCCTTTAATCTAACATCCCTTTGTTTTATGAGCAAGGAGAGTTCAGAAGAGTTTGTATGCAGATGATAAAGTGGAAAGATTATGATTTAAATCTCTCCATTCAGGATTCTGGCGCTCCAGGAAAATTTCCTTCTACAATTTAAAATGGATGTAAGTAGCACTGTTTTTTGATACATTGATCCCGTTTCTCTCAGCTAAGATAATCTGGGCTCAAATGATTTTCTTTTCTTAAATTTTTCATTTGCTTGTCCTCTCTACTTGCAGGCTTGCAGCACAGAAGAAAGGAGAAGAGATTTTGAGAAGATCTTTGCACACTATGACGTTGTGAGTCCCATGAGGCCATTCAATCCCTTGCAATTTGCAAATGACACAGATTTAGCATATGCTGCTCAGATTTCTTCTTTCTGCTGGGTATTGTTGGGGTCACTCAGGAGCAGCAGCAGCTGTGCCTGAGCCCATGGTCCATGAGCACAGATACCAGACTGGGAGGGGTAAAGTAGGGACAGATGGGTGTGACGCTCAGACAACTTGTGGCAAGGACCAATTTTGACTTCCTGCATTGCCATGGCCATTGCTGCTGCATTAGCAGTATCCCTGAAGGAGATGCAGAGAAGGTGGTGGCTTTAGCACTCACAGTCTTTGACAGTTGGGACCTGCATCACCACCACCCCAAAAAACAAAACTCCTTCCAATATTGAAATAACGATTATTTAGGGAGTCTGGCCCATGACAGACATTACCATTTAACTGCCTATTAGACATCAACAATTCAGTGCCACTTCTGACAGTCACACAATTCCCTCAGGGTGGTGACCAGCAAGCCTCACAAAATGGTGGGAGATGTTGCTTCCATGTGAGGGGAAAAGATTGTTTGGGAAAAAAGGAAGGTATCCTAGATATTAGGAAGAAAAAGAAATTCTTTACTGTGAGTGTAGTGAGGCACTGGAACAGGTTGCCCAGAGAAACTGTGGATTTTCCGTGCCTGTAAGTATTCAAGGCCAGGTTGGATGGAAGTCTGAGCAACCCAGCCTGGTATAGTGGAAGGTACTCATGCTCGTGGTGGGGTGGTTGGAACCAGATGATCTTAAAGGTCCCTTCCAATCCAAACCTTTCTATGGTTCTGTGAGCTTTATGACGCTTTATAAAGCTTGGTGATGGGTTGGATGTACTGGCTGGTAAATATTGTAGTGTTTTTGACTTACTGGGGAGTTTTGATGTTTATTCCATCTTTCAGAGTAAAACAGGAGCACTTGAAGGCCCAGAAGTGGATGGGTTTGTCAAAGACATGATGGAACTGGTCAAGGTATCTTCATGGTTCTGTTTGAATAATACCCTGTATTTCTGAAAGACCAGGGCTTGTTTTGGAAACGTTATGTACATAGAGAGACTAGCAAGAACAGAGTCAAATTTCACTCTGATCATAAGCAGCAGGGAATGTCACCATCTCAGCACAAACTGTTGGCATAGATCAATCATCAGAATTTCTTTCTTCTGTTTTCCCTGAGGATGTGGTTCTCACCAGAATGACCTCATGGTTCACTAGGTTATCTCAGGGCTACATTTGAAAATTATTTAGGGTCTATCTCTAATTGACAATACTGTACCCAGTGTGTCACTTCAATTTCTGATGGACAGCAGAGTCTGTCCGCATTGGATTATCTTGAGTTTCCAGATGCAGACCAAGATAGAGATTTTGACACAAATAGAGTCTAGTTTTGGCTTCCTCTGAGCCTGAGCTGTTGCATTTTCACACAATGTGACCTGGCACAGGGATATCAGCGCTCCCATGTCTGTTCAGCAGAGATCAGAGAATGGCAACTGAGTGGTGATGGCTGCAGGTGTATGTTATGGCCATGTAGTGTGTAGGGAAGGGTATAGGAATGGGTAGGAGGTTGGATTTGTTCTCTGTGTGTGTGTGTAAAGGAGGGAAGTTTGTACTTTCCCTAAGGGCCTTCTTCAGCATTGTCCTTAGATGCCACAAGCTGTGCATGTGAATTTGAGCCCCTCCCAAGGAAGCAGGAAGCAGAGCAAACAGTACAGCATTAGCATAGAGAGACAGTGTAGCCTGTAAAATGTGTCTTCAGCAGCAGTTTGATCCACAAAAGGTATTTTTACACTGCTGAGTAGCCTGGAAAACAGGAGTCTGCTGACAGAAATGCTACATCACTCCTTGCACAGCAGGATTGAGAGAAGAAACCAGATGAAAGCAGAGGACTGGTAGTGCAGCGATCTGCATTGCACACCTTTTTGCAGACTTTTCTTTGATATAGATCAGATACTGATGGCCTTCACTAAGCACAAAAGTCAAGGTGCCATTTCTGTATAGTTATTCACAGTCCCACACCCCCTGTGCTTCTGCAGGGTGCCCTTTCCCGATCCTCTGTTTGCCTCCCCACTGCATATGAGCTTATGTGGGGCCTTTTGGTCAGTCCTCCTTGGATGGATTTCCCAGTTGCTGTATGGCCCGCTGCTTTACAAAGCTGGGAGAATCCAGAGCCATTTTCTCTCTCAGCACTGTTTTTCTCTTTTGCCTGCAGCCCAGCATTAGTGGAGTGGACCTGGACAAGTTCCGCCAGATCCTGCTCAACCACTGTGACGTGAACAAGGATGGGAAAATTCAGAAATCTGAACTAGCTTTGTGTCTTGGGCTGAAAATTAACCCATAGCTGAGAAAGTGCTCGTGGTTGTGTTTCCCTTGTAAGATTTGCCTGCTGCTCCTTGTAGAAGTGTGTCTGTGCTGCTGTGTGAGCGGTGGGGAGCCATGGCACTGTGCTGCTGGGCTGGAGAGTGGGATTTGCATGGAGGCCTCCTCACTCCACCAACTCCTTTGTGGTGTTCACTCAGTGCTGCCACTTGTGGGTCCCCTTAGCAATGTCTCTGCCCACCAGCAGACCAGCTGCTCAGAAAAGAGGTTGCTCTTCTTCTTCTGCCCTCATGAAATGCTGCCCTGCCCATTCCCTAGCATCTCCTCCAAAATGTCCCATCAGTGCTCTCAGAGTGCAGCTAATTGATGTTTCTGTTGGTAACCTTATACATGTGAAATTATTACTTGGGTGAGCCTTGTGCTTTGTGCATTTAAAATATTGGATGGATGACAGTGTATTTGTGCAGAAATAAAATGGCAATTACAGAAGTTCAGTAAGACCGAAGTTTATGTGTTATGTACAGAAAGCCATCTGCTGCAGGCTGGCAGACTACATAGTAGCCTTTTGCGTAAAATGCACCAAATGGCAAGGTGTTTTGGGATGCTTATAAACTGTGGTGTTTAAATCCATCAAGCAATGAAACATGGTAGATCCTTCCCATGGGGAAGCCACACACACTAGGAAATAATGTCACCTTCAGGATGAAGCCACTGAGTAACATCACCTGTGGAGGACACTCTTCTTACCCAAACTGAAATAACATACAAGGTTTCTATAAACTGGAAAACTGGAAGGACAGAAGCCTAACGAGAGCTAAGGTCCTACATATGCTTGGGTTTTTTTAAATCTGTAAGAGTTAGCAAATACTTGTAACCTTTATTAAATTTAAAGCTTCCCATCACTCCTGGGCCAGGAGCATAATCCTGGAGCCTGATGGCAACGGTATAATTTGTGCCACATATTTCCCTTTTCCGAAGCCTTTGGGTGAATATTCAGAAAATGCTACACCTACACTGTCATGCCCATATAATTCTTTCTTAATTTCCTAAGAGAAAGTTGATGAGAAAGGGTTGTTGCCAAAACTCCCTCTCATTTCATCATTTCTGTTTTCTACAGATGACAGTCACAGACTTGACACGAGGGTCTTTCCAGTTATGTCTTCTACACAAGGCAGCACCATGAAACACTCACTGCCTTTATACTCAGTCTTATAAAAATTAATAAGAATTTACCTTCAGTCAACACGAATAGAGATGCAAACACTGATTACATATACCGCTTCAGAACATACTCAGATTAAAGCATCTGCTCCTTTTCTATTTTCATTGATGATAAGGTCACAGACTGAACAAGTGCTAAGTGAGTGTTTAGCCCCAGCACGGAACTAGGGCTCTAAACTCTGAAGCTGCTCTTTATCACCCTGGCAGCAACACAAATCACAAACATAATAACAGAGCTTTACAATGGTTCATAAAAAGATAAACAAGGAATAAAGCCTTAGCAGCAGCTCCCTAAGCCAGCAGGGATGCAGTTTTACTGCTCACGCCCCTCTAAGGGAAGAGCTGTGGTCAGGAGTGCAGGACCATGGATAAGAAGCCAGCAGATAAATCCCATGCACTGCTGTTTACCACACATGCTTTATCATCATCTTTGAACAATTTGTAACAAACTTAGCAGGGTACAACACCAATCATTGTTTTATTGTATCTCAAACAGAACATACTGATCAGCATAAATAGTTATGCCTTTAAGTATATTCTTTTGTTTCTCTTTCTTTCTTCTGTCTTTATATAATTCCCATTGTTATTATTTTCTTAAACTACAGTTATTATTACTTTGGACATGGGAGCAATTTCTCTACCATCTCCTACAATATATTTCCAGAGATAGATGTAGGATCTTTTTACTATTTCTATTTCTCAGTGATGGCAGGTCTATTCTGTTTCACCTCTGTTTAATCTTACTCATATCAGGAGAACTTTTTCTTATTTATTAAAGTATAAGTTCATGCATATCCTGTCCTGCCTCAGCAAATATACAGCAACTTTTAGTCTAAAGGGAAAATTATTTTTAGAGACTGTATACAACCAGAGCTCTCATTTCAAGACTTACACAACACTTCCTCTTTATTGAAACCTTATGCTTTTTACATCCTCTACAGCCAACAGACACTGAGCAATAATGAATTTGATATGTCAGTGTCACAATGTATGATTCTTTTGTACAAATCTGGGATTTATTTTTTTTTAAATCCTGATTTTTGCCAAAGCCTTCACACAACTAGTTTTATTAACTTTACATAAGTGAGTGCATAGCCTCCAGTAAATGAGTTTAGAAGAGCATTTTACAAAACACTAGCAAAAAGTAATTAGGGATCATGGATTCAAATATTATATAGAGAACTCAGAGATTTGGTTGTTTATGATCTTTTTTTTTTTTTAGTTAGTTTTCCATTCCCATAAGAGTTGTTTTTCTCTGTGCAGAGCAGAAAGCAAAGAGCAGGAAAACAGGCGTACACACTGCCTTGTTTGCAGGAACCAAAAGTGAAAGCCAGTGGGACAACAGCCTCAGTGATCTGGAGATCCCCTCTAAACAAAACAAAATGTCAGACGCAGTGGGATTTGAGCCCACGTTGCAAAGGTCAGCAAGGTAATTACCAGACAGACGTGGTCTTATAACCCTATAGACTCTTAAAGTCAACATTAAGGCAGGAGACAGGCATTTTGAGACTTCTTGCAGAGAAAATGTGTTCCTTACTTGCAGAGCTTTTGTTTTGTTTTAACTATTATTTTCACTTCAATAATAAATTATCTATAAGGCCCTTCAGTCTCAGACTCTGGTGATTTCAACCTTTTAAGCTGCTATAGATATATAGATAGGCAATAAATCTTTGATAAAATATAACTACTATCCATTTTGCAAATTTAAAGGGTACTTTTACGTACTGAAACACGAGATAATATTTCACATTTGAATGGTTACACAAAAATACCTGTTCTATGTTAAATATGTGAAAACAACAACGATTTCGGCAGATAACACCTTATTTAGGAGGCTGCATCTTGGTAACTAGAATTTGAAAGCAGAAAGTGAATGAAAATGTTTACAAAGATAATTTTCCCTTGGTATTTTAATGTTTTTCTTTAGAAAATTGAGATCAAAGGATTCACAGCTTTCTATTTCTTCATAGTATGCAAATCTACTGAAATCAATTTTTAACTGACAAGTCATGTTTCATAAGTGTATTTCTAATGCACATGTAGCAACCACAGGTGCAGTGCTCCCAAATGTGCCTTTTTATGGTTGGCTTTCTTCCTTTGCTTGTTTAACTGGCAAACTGCTGGATCTGGAAATCAATGTGTGAATTTCCTCAGAGAAAAGGTGTTTCTTTGCTTCCCTTTTCACTGTGTGTTGTATGGGAGCACGCCCTGCACTTCTATCATGCTCCCTGCTTGTCTTGGCTCTTCTCATTTTTGGTACTTGATACAGTTTTCTTCTGTTTGACTTGCCATGACAACCTCGTTCAGGAGAAGCGGACTCTGACATCTTTAGAATGTGTAGAACTGATAACCATCCCTTGTTTTAACTTCATTGGCTTTGCTGGAAGTGGGGGTATAGAGAAAATATTTTCTCCCACCAGTTTGAAACTAACACACTTTGCTTATCCCAAGCCATCACTGAGGGCTCTGCCACTGGAGGCCCCCATTTTCCTGAGTCAGCCTTACAATTCCAAATTGTTACATGCCAGTTGTCCCTTGGTCTGTGCAATTTTTTCCCCAAGACAATGAATCCACATATACATGCTCACCTCATTCCCCAGTCTGAACACGTTTCAGCAATCTCACATCACTGACACACAGACTGGAACCAGATGAGATGATTAGAAATGGCAACATTTAAGTTTCATCAGTGCTTTACTTTCAGATTTTTAGTAAAATAATTATCTGCCTTTTTTCTCACAATATTGCTTTAAATAACACGGGTGAAGCTGCCTGCACATCTTACAAAAAATGCTTTTTATTTTAACTGGAAGCTAAGAGTTGAGCATCAGTTCCAAAGGAAGCATTCAGAGTATAGGAAACCAGCACAGTATTTTGATTAATCTCTTTTTTTATTTGTATGGTAAGAGAATAGTGTCAATATTAATGAAAACAATTGTGACTAATGCAGCCAACAAGACTAACAGAGAATCATCTGCCACATTATAATAGGAGCCCATCACTAGAAACACCTTAATTACAGCTATTATCTCTTGAAATGGCTGGGTAACTCTTATATTAATCTGATTTGAAATAGAAAGTTGCCATTATGTAGCGAGATGTTAAAGGAGGCTTTGCTGTGTAATTATATGGGGTAAAGTAACTATAAAAGACATTTTTGTATGAAGGCTACACTGATTGCTAAGGAAAAGCTCTCATTTTCTGGCACCTGTATTTTCAGTAATTCCAGGGAGAACTGAGCCTCATTTTAAGTAACATTTCCACATGGGAGAAGGGGGAGAGAAGAGTGCCAGTTACGACCACCATGAGAGAAAATAAGGGAATCATTTGCCTCATGCCAAGAGACATCTTGACAGGGAGCTCCAACCAGGTCCCAGAGGTAAAACCATTTCCCTCTTCTGCTTAGCTAGCAATCACTGATTTTCACAAGCTCATCCCATGGCAAAGCACCCTGCTGCCTGCCTGCCATGTGCTTAGCCTTTACAATGGCTTCAGGCATTGCTCTTTCACTTGGGTTTGTTCCATCAAAGTTGGTGTAGTCCATAAAAAAACACCCTACAGTTGTGCTGGGCATCTTGGACAGGTGATGAGAGAACCAGAGAGGATGTCTCTGCTCAGAAAAAATGTTTGGTACAATGACACGTACAGCACAGACAAATGTTCATGCTGCATCTCTGACATCATCTGGCCTCTCTTTAGATGAGCTATTTCAGGAAAAAATGAATTTTAGTGGATTTGATGGAGGCACCACAGCCTACAAGAGCTAGTATTACTAGGCAACATGGCTGGAGAATGGGCATCTGCCCCAGTCTGAAAGGTGTGGTTTCGGGTCCCTGCTCTCCCTAGCATCGTGGCTGTGAATCTGAAATGATTTCAACCTGCTCAGTCTCACCAGGGAGAGTTTTCTGTTGTGGATCATGAGAGCACACAACCGCACATTGAAAATGAGTCATTTTGGTTTTGAAGTGTACCTTGAAGGGATATATTAACAATAATACCCATCACATTCTCAAATAAAGGGAGCTGAAGGTTCAGGTGCCCATGTACAGTGTGAGGAACTGGTTGTGCTGCACTTTATGGTGAACCTGGTCATCCCTTTGAGGTCCTCCTGCACCAGACCCTGGATTCAAAACCCAGGGAAGGATTTCGAGGGGAAATACAGGGAATTTAAGCCCTAAAATAATTTTATATCCAGCTGCAGCCCTCATACCTGTACAGTAACTTTTGTACCAACTCTCCATAGTTCTGTTTTGTAA